AATATAAAAAGCCAGTTGTGGACAAGTGGATTCCAACTCATGGCGACCCACATGTGTCAGAGTAGAATGGACTCCACAGAGATTTCAGTGGCTGATTCTTCAGAAGTAAATCCCAAGCCTTTCTTCTGAGGTTTCTCTGGGTAACTTGAAACCCCACCTTTTAGCTTGTTAGCTGAGCTTGTTAACCATTGAATAATAGGTGTGTTTAACAACTGGATCACACGAAGTCCTGAGAATTTAACAGTCAGCCAAGCTGGCTGGCTTCAGTACATCGCTAGCAGGGGGATTGATCTGTTGCCACCCGTTTTGGGTGCCTGGACCTGCACAGTCAGAGAAGACTACATTTCCCAGAAGCCTCCTCTCCCAGGACAAGCCCTCAGCTTCCGGAAAGCTGTTCCCATGGAGATGGGCTAACAGACAGTACACACTGTCCTTCAGAGAGGTAAGGAGGGAGCAAGTAGCTAGGCTCTGTCTGACAGGGTTGTGGTGGTGGTGGTGGTAAGGGGGATTTTTCAGCATGGGAGCCTTCACCCCTAACTTTTTAAGGAAGGGGTGTGTGTGTGTGTGCGTGCGTGCTGGGGAAGGGGGTTCAGGGAAGAGTCTGTGGGTTGGGGAGGGTCATGGACCTCTGGGGAGGGTCCAGGAAACTGTGAGGCAAGACAGCACTACAAGCGGCCAGTAGCTGAAGAGGCCGCCTAGTGTAAGGAATACAGTACTGCGGGTTCTGGCCCCAGCTCTGCCTCTAAGGAACATGCTGTGTGACTCTGTGTCAGGGCCCCATCTCAGGGCCTGCTTGGGGTGTAACCATCTGCTGTCCTCTGACATGTTGGCCTTTTCTCCAGCACTTCTTTCCCTGCTCACCCCCACCTCTACCCCCAACATCCCTTCTGGGACTTCCCCCATCTCATTAGACCCTTAAGAACGTGGTTTTCAGAACCAGAAATATATGGGTTCAAATCTCAGATGTACCACTTACTATCTCTGTGACCTTAGTCAGTGCACTCAACCTCTCCAGGCACATAGTAGGTCTTCAGTAAGCTGTAAGCTTACTGCTTTCCCTGGACCCATCCTCTCTGTGCCCGAGAGGCAGACAAAGGGATCTGATAACCAGGGTAAGCTGCTTGGCAGGTGGGCACAAGGAGAGATTTGCTGCGGTGCTGACTCAGCTTGGGTTTCTGTTGGAGCTCAGCCCCTCCTGAGCCCTAGAGGACAATATCAGAACTGGGCAGAAAATGTGTTCCTCCCCTCCTGTTCAGGTGGAGAAACCAAGCCTCAGAAAGGCCTTCTACCTCGGTGAGATTTCTAGGGGTTCAGGGGCGTGGCTAAGGATAAGGTGAAGGGTCAGTTGTTGTACCAGGCCCTTCCTACAACCAAAAGAAGGCACAGTGCTTGGTGGGCCTCTTTGGATTTTGGAGGTAACGCATTCCTCATTTGAGGGTGCTACTTCAGTCTGTTTACCAAGGAACTCAGAAATCTGCCCGTTTTGAGTGGGGCCCAGATGAAGCAAAGGCTCTGCAACCCTGCAACAGGTGCAGGTGACCATGCAAGCTGCTCTGCCACTTGGGCCATATGACCCAGCAAGTCCCATGGTGCTTGAAGGGTCAGTGGCAGATAGAGATGCTGGTTGGAGTCTTTGGTAGGCCCCCATTGGCAAATCAGGAGCCCTGGTGGCACAATGGGAAAGTGTTTGGGTGCTAACTGAAAGGTTGTTGGTTCAAACCCACCAGCTGCTCCATAGGGAGATGTGGAAGAAGTCTGTTTCCATAAGATTGCAGCCTTGCATAACATACTGCACAAAAACATTGTTCCACCTCCTACTTTGGCAAGTAGTAACTGGGATCTTAAAAAGCTTGCGAGCGGCCATGTAGATCAACAATGGGTGTCTCCTCGTCCAGAGCAATGAATAAAGAAAACCAAAGACGCATGGAAACAATTAGTCCAAGCAACTGGTACACCATGCAATCCTCAGCCTGTATGTCTATGAAACCAGAAGAATTAGATGGTGCCCAGCTACCACTGTCAACCACTCAGAGAGGAACTCTATGTGGGAGATCATGGACAGAGGGGGAGAACAATGTGGAACAAAACTCGAAATCATTAAAAAAAAAAAAAAAAAAAAAAAGGAACCAGGTTTGCTGGTCTGATAGAGCCTGGTGGAACCCCTGAGATTATAGCCCCTAGCTGCCCTTCAGGTCTGGAATTGAACCCACTCCTGTGACTTGCAGCCAAACAAAAGACAGGCATATGAGCTGAACATTTACATTAGGTAGCTACACTCCTTGGAAAGATCAATCATGGGAGAAAGAAGGGCTGCGTATGCACAGGGACACAGCTCAGGGGGCAGGAGTGCATGGAGGGAAGGACTCAGGGAGGAGGTGGCTATGGAGATGAAGTGGGAGGAGAGCTGTTGCACTGTGGGAAATTACAGTCAACGTCATGAGACTAAGTGTATGTGAACTGCTGTATGGAAGATGAATTTTCTCTGTAAACTTTCACCCAAATCACAATTTTTTTTTTTTTTCAAAAAGGAGGCTAGGGTGGAAGAAAGTGACCCAAAGCGAAGAACCCTCTGCTTTATTTGTGTATTCATTTTATGATGCAATGCAAAAAAAAAAAAAGATTACAGCCTTGGAAACCCTATGGAGCAGTTGTACTCTCTCCTATAGTGTTGCTATGAGTTGGAATTGACTTAACAGCAATTTTGTTGTTGTTGTTGTTATTGGCATTGGTAAATCACATTGCAGACCCCTAGAATTTTGGAGGACACTCCTGCCATCCTCTGCAGATAACTACTTTTCTTTGAGAAATAGCTTTTGACTTGTTACTGGGCCTCAGTAGACACTGAATGCTTAACCATGAGCCACCAAGTACCATGTGGCTTGAGCTACCCATCATGACCCATGAAGTCATAGAGTTGGATGTGCATGGCAGGACTCCATCACCTTATGGAAGTGGTATATATGAGATCAGGCCAGGTTTCCCCCCCCAGGCCAGGCTCAGGCCACACTGATGGCTAGTTACTCACCTCCATGAGAAGGTGAGCTGGTAGGGCAGGGGTGAGACATGACAGCCTTTCTATCCTTGTCCCTTTGGCCCACTCAGTCCTGACTCCACCCTGCTCTTTTCTCCCCAGTCCTCATTATCACCCCTACCCATCCCCACAAACACACCTGTGGGTCAGTGCTCTCTGGACAATTGCTCTGTTTGCTGTGAAGAAAACAGATATTTGGGCTAGGGTATCAGAGAGAGCTGACCTGGAGGCAGAAGGCTAGCAGAGCAGCTGGGATGGTGTTTGGTGGGATATAGTAGGAACCTAATGAAAGCAGCTTAAACAACAGCAACAACAAAACTCACTGCTGTTGAGTCGAATCTGAATCATAGTGGCCCCTCCTTGGGTTTCCGAGGCGAGGCTGACTTTTCTCACACAGGAGTCTGGAGGTGGCCCTCCAAGCCTTATATGGGAGTTCCATGGTGCCAGTAGGGACCCTGGCTCCCCTTATGTTTCCACTCTGCTTTAGCAGGACTTTGGTCATCATGTGTGGACATCTCACGGCCACACATTGCCTGCTCGACCTCCCACTTCATATCCCTGTCCCAAGCAGGAAGATGGAGAGGGGCAAAGGGCAAAGGGTCTGTGCTAGCTGACCCTTCTCACAAGTCTTCCCAGAAATCCTGCCTAGCAACTTCTGCTCACATCTCATTGGCCAGAACGGGGTGATGTCACAGGGCCACCCCTAGCTGCAAGGGAGTCTGGAGAAGCTAAGCATTTTAAACTGAGCACATTGCTGCCCCAAACAAAATTGAGGTTCTGCAGTATGGAAGGGGAGCTGGAGGTGTGGCTTGGTGGCTGGTGGTCAGCTCTCCTCTGTGGACACAGCTGTGGCGTTTCCTAGGGCTCACGAACACATATGGTACCTCAGTATGGCTCACAAAATGACGCCGATTTGTGCTGACACAGGACTTGGCTGAGACTGCAGACTATGCCTCCCCACCTCCCACTTTGCCCCCCCTCTGGGTGCCTTTGTCTTGTCCATTACTTCCAACTTTGGTGAGATGAGCTGTCATTCACCTGTCATTTACCTGTCACCTTCAGTTTTTTTTCACTTTTCTGCCTAGTCTGTATTGCCTTACTATTACACTTTTCCTTAAAACAATTCACTTACTGGCCTTGATTATTGTTGGACACCATCGAGTCGATTTTCGACTCACAGTGATCTGATGTGACAGAGTGGAACTGCCCCATAGGGTTTCCAAGGCTGTAATCTTTACGGAAACAGACTGCCTCATCTTTCTCCCATGGAGCAGCTGATGGCTTCAAACTGCCGACCTTTAGGTTAGCAGTTGAGCACTAACCCACTGTGCTACCAAGGTTCCTTTACTGGCTTTAATAAACATATTTAAATAGGAGGCTTTATGATGTTACAGCGCCCCCGCAGCATTAGCATCTGTTGGCATAGAGATATTAACTGTCTAAATAAACATACTAAAAGGAAATTAACTAGCAAGTTTGGGACAGTAAGTTTGGGTCTCCCACTCCTTCCCTGACACTGGCTGGGACCTGTTTTATCTTCATTTTAAAGGGAGATTTGCATGTATTAGAAAGATGTTACAGATGCACTAGCCCAAGGTGAGACTTTCCCCTCCATAGAAAGGAAGTTTACAGGGAATCACTGTCTCCCTCTGTGACCTGTTGTTGTTGTTATGTGCCATCGAGTGGCCCTGACTCATAGGGACCCCTTGTGTTTCCAAGGCAGTATCACTAGAAAGCCCAACCTTCCTTCCGAGGAGTGGCTGGTGGGTTTGAACCGCCAGCCTTCTGGTTAGCAGTCAAGTGCCTTAGGCACTATGCTACCAGAGCTCCTCTCTGTGACCCAAGCCACCTAAAATCACCTCCCAGGGATGCAAGTGGTCTTGCTGGCTCCTCCTGCCCGGGCTGACAGTCAGCCACTCCGAGTGCTTTTAGCCCTCCTCCGTTTCCAGAGAGCCCGAGCTGTGCCAGCATGGAGGTCCTGATAGAGAAGGTGGAGGAAGAGGAGGAGGCTGAGCAGGAGGAGGGGGCAGAACGGCCCGTCAAGCCCGAGAAAATGACGAAGTTGCTGCAGAAGGAGACAACCACGCTGACGCAGGAGACGCTGAGAAACATGGAGCAGAAGATGTTGGAGATCAAGGTCCCCGTCCCGAAGGAGCCCTTGTGAGTGCTGCGGTGGGGGCTTCAGGCCCAGCAGCCCTGGCAAGCGCCAGACCAGGGTTGGGGGCCAAGGGACCAGACAGAATGGTAGAGCCTAGGCAGGGTGGTACCGCCTTGGAAACCCAAGAAGGGGATCCGACTCGACAGCGGTGAGTTTGGTTTTGGTTTAGGCAGGGCCAGGACAGGAGAGGGAGGAAGATAAGGGTGAGAGCTAGGCTTTCAGACTGCCTGGTCTGAGTCTCGCTAGCTGTGTGACCTTGGGAAAGTCACTTAACCTCTCTGTGCCCAAGTTCTTCCATCTGTTTAAAAGCATGGCTGATAATAATGATACTTGTCTTCTATGAAGCTGTGAGGATTAAATGAGGAAGGGGTAGAGTCTGTCACGGCCAAGACAGCTCAAGGTGAGGCCTAGCCTCCCACGGACCAACACCACCCCTCTCGTGGGCGCAGGACCAAGGACACTATTGACACCTCCAAGCTGCCCCTTTCCTACAAAATCAACACACCTAAGGAGGAGCAGCTGTTGCAGGTGGCAGACAACTTCTCTCGCCAGTACAGTCATCTGTGCCCGGACCGCGTGCCCCTCTTACTGTACCCGCTGAACGAGTGCCATGTGCCCGTAAGGCCAGAGAGGGTGGAGGGCGGGAATGGGATGGGGGAGCAGGAAGCAGAGGGTGGAGAGCAGTGGCATGGACTCTCCAAGGTCTCCAGTCGGAGCACAGACTTTCCAGCGATTGGAGCAGAGTCGGGCCCCACCCAGCTGCTAATCTGGGGTGGCATAAACTCAGACGTCAGCAGCTCCAGTGGGCCCCTCTGATTGCAGGGGAAATGCAGGCCTGGGGTTACCCAATCAAGAGAAGGAGGGAGCCAGGTTCTCTCTCTTTTTTTTTTTTTTTCTTTTTAATGAGAATCTGATTTGTAAATGTTGACAGCTATTACATTTTTTTTTTTTTAATTACCTCGTGGACCAAATAAAACAGGTCTGTGGGTCCCTGTCAACCAGTGGGCAGCTGTTTTGCAGCTTTTGGGTTAATCTCACACCTTTCATTTACAGATGGGGAAACTGAGGCCTGGGAGGCTGAGAGATCTGTCCTGGGTCACAGGGGTGGAAGGAATGCAGCAAACACTCAGGTCCTGAAGCCCATCCTGGGCCACTTTGTCTTATTTCTCTGTCCTTGGCTGCACAGGGCTGGCCTCTAGGGCTGACCACTGCACTGGCTGTGGGGCTACCCCTGGCCCAGAACCTCTGTAGGCCCAGAGGAGGGCATTACACCTGGGGAGGAGCCCAGAACTGATCCGGGACCATGAGGACAAAGGCTGGGTGTCTGATTTTGTTGAGTGGCTGGGGGCAGCATTCGAGGCTTCTCTGGATCCAGGCACCTCCTTGGTCTCTGGGGATCAGAGGAAGGCATCTTTCAAGGCCCATCTAGCCCAGACCCAGAATAACCTGGTGTGTCCCCTGGGTGCCGGTGATGTAATTGGGGCCTCTCTTGTCATCATGTGGTCCCACTGAGTGCTGCCATATGCCTGGCCTGTGTGTTACCTCCCCAACAGAAAAAAACGGTTGCCAACACATCAGTTCCAACTGGTGACCACATGTGTCAGAGCCGACTGTGCTCCTTGGGGCTTTCGGTGGCTGGATCCTTAGAAATGGATCAGCGGGCCTTTCTGTCAAGGCACCTCTGGGCAGACTCAAAGCACCACCTCTTGGTCTGCAGCTGAGCTCATTCCTCACTTGTGTTACCCAGGGACAACTGAGAGATGGGACCTGTGATTGCCCCTCGTTCACAGACGAGGAAACAGACTTAGAGAGCTGCAGGGACCTGCATGGGCTCACACAGTCAGCAGCAGAGCTGGGATCTGGCTCCAGGCCACCACCCAGTGTGGGATACCTGGTGCTACAAGGATGAGGGGCTGTCCTGCCACCTGGTGCCCACAGGGCCTGGCCTCCTGAGACCGCTCCGGGCTCCGAGGCCTGCCCTGTGAATTTGAGGAAGGACCCACCAGGCACCCGATCTCACAGAGCTTGCCCACCCTCCCGTGTCAGGTGTCTTAGTTTGCTGGTACCGCTGTAACGGGAATACCACCAGTGGGTGACTTTAACAAACAGAGATTTACTTTCTCACAGTTCAGGAGGGTGGGAGTCAGGATTCAGGCTGCCGGCTCCACGGGAAGTCACTCTGTGTGGGCTCTGGGAGGAAATCTTTGCCTCGGTTTCTTCTCGACGTTCCTTGGGGTCTCCGCGTGGCATCTGTCTTCCCCCAATTGGTGCTTGGCTTCTCTGTGTCTAATCTGCTCTTCTTATATCTCAAAAGTGACTAGGTTGACGGCACACCCTACGCTGACATGGCCTTATTAATTTAACAAAGGAAATCCTATTCCAAATGGGATACATCCACAGGTACTGGGGTTAGGATTACAGTGCATGTTTTAGGGGACACAACTCCTTACATAACACCAGATCTCTCCCTTTGCAGAAGTTCGTGAGCACGACCATCCGGCCCACGCTGATGCCCTACTCCGACCTCTACAACTGGGACAGCTGTGCTCAGTTTGTCTCTGACTTCCTCACTATGGTACCCCTGCCTGACCCCCTTAAGCTGGTAAGGGCCAGCCCAGGATGAATCCTTAGGCTCCTAAAGCTTAAGAAGGGAAAGCAGGCTAGGAGAAGGAGGCTCAGCTGAGCTCAGGCCATAGCCCGTGAACCTGTCTATACCAGAGCCCTCAGGGACCTCGGGGAGAATGGGCCCAGAGAGGGCTGAGCACTTACCCAAGGTCACACAGCAAGTTTGGAAGGGGTGAAAGAGTCTCCCTTTCACAACTCCAGGGAATGGGGAAAGGAGAGAGATGGGGGAAGACCCCACACCCACAGCCCTCAGCCTCAGCTTTAGACTCCTGAACCATGCAGTCAGTTTCTCATTGCAAAGGAAGGAAGAAAGGGACAGCTCAACAATGGAGAAATGATAGAGGGGAGAGGAGGAAAGGATGGGGGATAGAAGTGAGAGGAAACTGGGAGTGAAAAAACAAAATTACTGGTCAGAAAGCATCACATCCAGAGCTTCTCCAGCCCAGAGGTGGTTTTCCTTCGGGACGTCCACAAGTCTCTTAAAATAACACAACAGGAAATACCTGGGCATGGTGTCCCCGGTTTTCATCCCAGCCTTAGCAGGCTTCCTAACCCACAAAGGTTAAGAGCCCAGCCGGGATCCAGCCAGCACTGAAGCCACAGCCCTGACAGGTGGGCTGTGACTGCTGGGCGGCCAGGTGGGGCCAGCAGGTGCTAGCTATACTGACCAGGCTGCCGTGCCCAGCCCAGGTACCTGTACTCCTCGACCACGGTGCTCAGGTACCAGAAGGGCAACTGCTTCGACTTCAGCACACTGCTCTGCTCCATGCTTATCGGCTCTGGCTATGATGCCTACTGCGTCAACGGCTACGCCTCGCAGGACCTGTGCCTCATGGACCTGACGCGAGAGGTGTGCCCGCTCACCATGAAGGCCAAGAAGGTATGGCCAGGCTCGCGCTGTCCATGGCATCTCACAGATTGTGGGTTATCACTGCCATCACGCCCATCCCTAAAGCAGTGTGGAGGATGTAGATGGGAATGTAAAATGGTACGACCACTGTGGAAAGCAGTTTGGCAGTTCCCTAAGAAGTTAAACGTAGAGTTATTATATCAGTACCAGTTGCCATCAAGTCAGTTACAACTCATGGTGACCCTGTGTGTGTCTCGGAGAAGAACTGTGGTCCACAGGGTGATATTTTGGATGTAAATCACCAGGCATTTCTTCTAAAGTGTTGCCAGGTGGACGAGAACCTCCAACCTTTCAGTTAGCAGACAAGTGTGTTAACTGTTTGCATCACCAGGGACTCTGTAGTTATCATAGGACTCAGTGATTCACTCATAGGCATAAAAGAATGAGAGCAGGGCCAGCCACAAACAGATACTTGTACAACCAATGTTCATTGCAGCACTATTCACAATATCCAAAAGGTGGAAACAGCCCAAGTGTCCATCAACAGGTGAATGGACAAACAAAATGTATATATCCACACAATGGAATATTGTTGTTGTTGTTGTTAGGTGTGGAGTTGAGTCCTACTCGCAGCAACCTCATGCAACAAAGCAGAACTGCCGCATAGGGTTTCTTGGCTGTAATCTTTATGGAAACAGGTCACCAGGTCTTTCTCCGACAGAGCCACTAGGCAGGTTTTAGCTACCTATCTTTTGGTTAGGAGCTCTGGTGGCATAGTGCCTAAGGCACTTGACTGCTAACTAGAAGGCTGGCGGTTCAAACCCACCAGCCACTCCTTGGAAGGAAGACTGGGCAATCTACTTCCATAGTGATACCGCCTCGGAAACCCAAGGAGGGGTCACCATGAGTCAGATCTGACTTGAAGACAGTAAGTTTGGTTGTTTTTTTATCTTTTGGTTAGCAACCGAGCACTTAAACATTGTGCCACCGGGCTCTAACACATGCTATGACATGGATGAACCTTGAAAACATGCTGAATGGGATTACAACATTTGTGATCCCACTTACATGAATTATCTATGTAGAGAAATACATGTGGACAAAAGTAGGGTCATGGTTACCAGAGGCTGGAGGGGGAGGGGACAGGAAGTTAGTGCCAACGACTGGAAGAGATCCATACTTAGGCCCATTCCAAAGAAAAGTGATCCAACAGAATTCAGAAATTATCAAACAATATCATCAATATCACATGCAAGTAAAATTTTGCTGAAGATAATTCAGAAATGCTTGCAGCAATCCATTGACAGGGAACTGCCAGAAATGCAAGTCAGATTCAGAAGAGGACATGGAACAGGGATATCACTGCTGATGTCAGATGGATCTTGGCTGAAAGCAGGAAGATGTTTACCTGTGTTTTATTGACTACACAAAGGCATTCGCCTGTGTGGATCATAACAAATATGGATAACATTACAAAGAATGGGAATTCCAGAACACTTAATTGTGGTCATGAGAAATATGTACATAGACCAAGAAGCAGTCATTCAAATAGAACAAGGGCATACTACATGGTTTAAAATCAGGAAAAGTGTGCATCCGGGTTGTAACCTTTCATCATACTTATTCAATATGTATGCTGAGCAAATAATCCAAGAAGCTGCACTATATGAAGAAGAACACTGTGTCAGGATCAGAGGAAGACTTGTGATAGTTAAGGTTGTGTGTCAACCTGGCTGGGCCATGATTCTCAGTGGTTTAGCAGTTATGATGTAGTCGTGCCCTATGATGAGATCTGATATAATGTAATCACTTCTGCAATGAGATGTGCTATGAGCAGTCAATCAATTGAAAGGGAGCTTCCTCATGAGTGTGGCCCATTTCCAGTATCTGTGGACGTCCTGTCCAAGTTCCCTGGCCTTTTGTTTGATCTGCATCTTGCATCTGGCTTGTCATCACTTGACCTCTGGTTCCTTGGACTTGCGCCAGCAGCCTGCCATATTGCCTGCCAATCTTGGGATTCATTAGCCTGTGTGGCCAATGAATAAGGAATATTGAAGAAGAACTGATACCTTTGAATGATGGTGTTGGCAAAGAATGTGGAATATACCATGGGCTGCCAGAAGAATGAACAAATCTGTCTTGGAAGATGTAAAGCCAGAATGCTTGGAAGTGAGTATGGTAAGACTTTGCCTCCCGTATTTTGGACATGTTATCAGGAGGGACCAGTCCCTGGAGAAGGACATCATACTTGGTAAAGTAGAGGCTCGTCAAAAAAGAGGAAGCTCCTTAACGAGACGGATTGACACAGTGGCTGCAACGATGGACTCAGACGTGGCAGTGAGTGTGAGGATCGCACAGGACTGGGCAGTGTTTGGTTCTGTTGTGCACAGGGTCGCTGTGAGTCAGAACTGATGCAACAGCACCTAACAACACCGTTCTACAGGTTAGTGTGTTCAGATGAAATTGGAGATGATAACCTGACCAAAGTCACACAGCTGGTCCGTGGAGACCCAGGGATGGAAGCCTGAGTAGGTCAGGCTCTAAACCCTGGAGATACGCTCTTTCTCCCTCATAACTGCTGCAGGCCTCTTCTGCAGCCTCTGCAGTGCTCATTCCTGGGCACTTTGTTTGCACCTTAGCATGTGTTCCTGTGTGCACACGTGTATATGTGCATGCGTGCACACACACACACAGAAGATTTCATCACTTTCCTTGCCTAGCAAACCTTACTTTAAATCAACACATGAAACCCTCCAAACAATGATAAGATCTGAAAACCCTGACCCCCAACCATTTGTCTCACCTCCCACATGGGGTTACATAGCTGGCACGGGCCATGGAAAAAGAAGAGGAAAAGGTCACATCTCCTGAGTGCCTGTCCTGGGAGGCATCTTACATGGGCATTTTACTGTGCCCACCTCCCTTGTTCTCAGGGTTCTTATCATTCTCACTCCACTTTACAGAGAAGCCTGAGGTTCAGAGAGATGAGAAAACTGGCCCAAGTCATAGACCTGGAGCTGGGCCTCTACACCTAGAGCCAGAAACGCTGTGTGGTCGACAACTGTCATCTCCTGGTTGGAGGGGCTGCTGGTCAGGTCTCAGCTCTGAGTGTGTGTGGTAGGTGGTGTAGGGCCATTTATTCTTCTCTCTTTTTGGGTGACAGGTGGTTCGTAAGGTGGAAAAGGCACCGCCTAAGAAGTATGCCATCAAACCCCCCAGGGACCTGACCAGCAGGTTTGAGCAGGAGCAGGAGCTCAAGAGGCAGCGGGAGATGAAAGCTGCTGAGGAGAAGCGGCTGAGGGAGGAAGAGGAGCGCCTCCTGGTGGGTCCACATCCTCAGCCCCCACCCCCAGCTCAGCTGAAGAGGGGCTTCTGTGAATGGGGAACACACACAAGTCAGGGAAGTGGGGGTTCATGTAGCTCTGGCGCTCTCCTTGTTCCAGACTCTTCACTGGAGATAACTACATGCACCGTTGCATCCATCCATCCACCTATCCGTCCTTCTGTGTCCATCTTCCCATCACCCCTTCCAACATTCAGCCTCCCATCATCCATTCTCCCATCCATCCATCTGTCCATCCACCTACCCACCCACCCATCCATCCATCCACCCGTCCACACGTCCATCCGTCCGTCTGTCCACCCATCCATCCATCCATCCACCCATCCATCCATCAGTCCATCCGTCCATCCTCATCTCTCCTTCCATCACCCATCTATCCTCCTTTCTCTGCTTCAGTCATCCATCCTCCCATCCATCTGTGCTCTCATCTTCCCTCTTTCCATTGCTCCCTTCCATCTACCATTTACTGAGTTTCTCCTGTGGTCCAGGCCCTGGGGATGCAATAATGAATATGGCACAGTCATCGTCTTCCCAGAAGGAGGCCAACAAGGGAACCATATAGAAATTATTACCCTTTTTTGGATGAAATCTCACCCAGAAACATAACATAATAAAGCCAGTAAATCCTGGACATCCCAGAACTCCAAAGAGTCCAGTATATGAACCATGGATCGTGTCAGATCCTCACATTTTATTAATAAGAAAATGGGCTCAGGATTGGGTGACGTTCTCAAGCCAATGGCACAGTCCGAATCAGAACTTGGCTGTCCTGCTGGACCCCTGACACCCCCTCCCTCCCCATCGCCCTGTGCAGGAGGCAGAGAAGGCAGCACCTGACTCCCTGCATGGCCTGCGGGTGCACTCCTGGGTCCTGGTGCTGTCAGGAAAGCGTGAGGTGCCCGAGAGCTTCTTCATTGACCCGTTCACAGCACACAGCTACAGCACCCAGGACGACCACTTCCTGGGCATCGAGAGCCTGTGGAACCACAAGAACTACTGGGTCAACATGCAAGACTGCTGGAACGGCTGCAAGGTGCCCAAGAGGGGCCCAGAGGGGAGCGGGAGGTGAAGGTGATCCTGTGGGGAACCAGCCACCAGGCCATGAGGGCTGAACCCCCATAGCCACTCCCTTGCCCACAAGTAACCACTCTAATAAGATTGTGAGCTCTCTTTTGATGTATATATCCTTCCAAAATATGGATTGTTAGTTTGTGTTAATGATTTTCTCAAAAAACTCTTCATTGAAGTGAAACATACACGTAGAAACGTACAGTCATCCTAAGTGCACAGCTCAGAGAATTTCCATAAATTGAGCCGGGTGGAGAAATAGAACATTACCCACGCTGCAGATGCCCCCTTGTGTCCAGTTTTTGAACCTCCAGTAGAATGTCAAAGACCAGTGGGAATCGTGGGCGTCCCTATCTCACTCCTGATTCAGGAGGAAAGCCTTAATACTTTAATATTTCATTATTCATATGATGTTTACTGTAGGGTGTTTTTTTTTTTTTTAAGTTACCCATTTATTATAAGGAGCCTTGGTGGCTCAAACGGTTAAGTGCTAGGCTGTTAACCAAAGGGTTCACAGTTTAAACCTACCCAGTGGCTCTGAGGGGGAAAGCCAAGAAAACCTTATGGGGCAGTTCTCCTTGTCACATGGACTTGCTGCTATGAGTTTCAATCAACTTGATGGCACCTAACAACTTTTATTATAACCAGTTGTGTTTTTTTAGTTACCCATTTATTACAGCCAGTTTAAAAAAAAAAAAAAAAACTGTAGGCTTTTTGTAGCTGCTCTTTATCAGACTAAGGAGATCCCTTTCTCTTCTTCAGCTTTCTAGTAGTTTTTTGTTGTTGTTGTTAGCCAGACAAAATCTGTTTTTAGCAACTGCTTTTTCTGCATCTATTAAGATGATCATATGATTTCTCCCCTTTATTCTATTAACTAGGTGAATTACCCTGATTGTTTTGTTTTCTTTTGAAAGTATAATTCCCATTCTATAAAGCTCACAGATACAGAGTGTATTTCATTGTAGGGATAGCCCATGACTCATTTATCCATTCATCCATTGATGGACATTTGGGTTTTCCCCACCTTTTGGTTATCAGATTCCTCAAAAAAAAAAATTGAACTTGAATTTTATTTGAGATGATGATGAAGTTATGTATCAATGTGAAACATTCACATCTTAATGCTTCCTGCATGTTACATCAGTGAGCCCTGATGGTGCAGTGGTTAAGGGCTTGGCTACTAACCGAAAGGTCAGTGGTTCAAATCCACCAGCCAGTCCATGAGAGAAAGAGAGGTGGCGGACTCCTTTCTTGTGTATTTTTGGTTAATTCCTAGATAGTTTATAGGTATTGTTGCTATTGTGATTGCTGTCTTAATTGGTCATTATATATTTTAGTTGGTTTTTACTAGTAGAGACAAATATGATTGATTTCACAGAAGCAAAGCATGATACTATCTAATTGCTACTTTGCTACTTATGAGCAGTGGTGGTTCAGTGGCAGGACTCTCGCCTTGCCTTCTACGTGGGAGTCCCTGGTTAAGTATCCAGCCAAGGCACAGCCACCACCTGTATGTCAGGGGAAGCGTGCATGACACAGTCATACTGAACAGGTTTCACTGGAGCTTCCAGACTAAGATGGACGAAGAAGAAAGGCCTGGTGATCTTTCTTAAAATCAGCCAGTGAAAACCCTGGGAATTACTGCAATCTGACCCACAGCTATCGGGGCACGGTGCAGGGCCCAGCAGCCTGTCATTCCGTTGCACACGGGGTCATCGTAAGGTGGGAGCTGACTGTATGGCAGCTGTGGAAAGGGCATGGGGGTGGCATCTGACTGCCTCTAACTTCACAACACTCACTTCTTACGAAAATGACAGAGTTTTGGACAAGATGTAAAGATACGTAAGTATCTGTGCTAGGTGCCTCCTCTTTCCTCCCCTTTGACTATTCCTAATTAGCGTTACACCTAGGGCCAGTTTCCTCCCTCCCCCTCCTCCTGTCTACCCCCTGACCACCCCCAGCTAGCGTGATCCTCAGGATCCCTTCCAGGACTCAGACAAGACATTAAAGACTAGGATTAGGGCCTGCTTCAGGGCAGCTTCATGTTAAAACCCCCTTATGGGCAGCTTTCCTCTGACTTTTGACCTCCAGGGACACTGGTTCTGGGGATGAGGCCCAAGGCTGTGGGAGGTGCCCCATCTGCTAGGCACTGTTTGGCACGTGGGCTGCTCTGATTGAGGAGACCATGATCTTACTCCTCAGGTGAGCCAGGGGAAGGGGGAGGAGGACCCCACCCGCGAGTCCCGCTCATCCTCCGCGCGTCCGGCCTGACCCTTTCTCCCAGCCTGGGCAAGCAGCCAGCTGCTGCTGTTGTCTCATGCTGTCAGCATGGATTTTCTTGGTTGCAATCTTTGTGAAAGCAGACTTTCAGGCCTCTGCTTCACGGTGCCACTGGTGGGTTCAAGCAACATTTTGGTTACAAAAAAAAAAAAAAAACACCAAACTCACTGCCATCAAGTCAATTCCAACTCATAGTGACCCCTCCTTGGGTTTCCAAGGCACCATCTCTTCCAAAGTAGATCGCCCAGTCTTCCTTCCAAAGAGTGGCTGGTGGGTTTGAACCTCCAGCCTTCTGATTAGCAGTCAGATGCCTTAGGCACCACACCACCAGAGCCAGGTATAAACAGGGACCAACCTGAGGAGGTATTTTTTAAAACCCGCCCTTTCCTGGAGGGTCAGATTCCTCCTCCTGTAAAGTCTCTAGAGGTTAGCCTGTCCGTGGCCCTGGGATGCCCTAGCCCACACAGATGGACCTCTAAATCTAGGCCTACCCAGGCAGAAGGTTTCTGACTCTCTCACAGAGACTGACAACAGCTCGCTTCCCAGGGAGACTGGACAATGTGAAGTGAGCCCCGTCCTCCCCCCCAGGGCCTGTTCCCCCATCAGAATGAGAAGCATGGGCATGGATTCTCAAGGTGGCCTGGCGCCGACATTCTGGCCCTTTGAGATTTGGCCCCAGGTCCCTTCTCCTCTGGGAGCTGCTGTTTCCACCAGCCCTGTGAGGTGCACTCAATGGATTCCCCCCACCATCAGGACTTGGTCTTTGACCTGGGAGACCCTGTGAGGTGGGAGTACTTGCTCTTGGGGACCGATAAGCCTCACCTGATGGCGGGTGATGAGGACAACGGAGTGAGCGAGGACGACGACGATGTGGAAAATCTGGTGCGTCCTGGTGGGCACAGGGTGGGAGGGGGGACGAGGAGGGGTCTCACCCTATCATCCGGCCAGCCTGAAAAATGTCCCAGCCAGCACGTGTATGTATGGGAGCGGAGATGGTCCAGGGAGACCAGCTATGCATTCCTCGAGGCAGAAGAACGCCTGTAGCCTGAACCACATTCTTACTCTACAGAGGGCAACCTGAGGCCCAGACACACCCTGCCCTGCACCAGCACTTGGTTAGAGGAGGGCTGCGACTTGAACTCAGGTCTCCTGCCCCCTACACACAGCCCACCCTTGCTCAGGGTCACCCTGATCCCCCTGGGGAGCACACTCTCGGAGTGAGGTGATGTGACCTTCTCAGTGAGCCCTGGGAGCCCAGGCCTGTCCTCACTGCCCAGCCTGGGTGGCCACAGCGATCCCCAGAATTCCCAGGCCTTTCTTGTTGGTCCTATCGGCCCTTCTAAAGGAAGGCCATTGGACAGGGGACAGAGCCATCGGCACCCCTTCTGGGCAGGTTTCCAGGGTGCCTGTGTGGGGTGCTCAGGAGCACAGGGACCTTAGTTACCGGCTGTGACCTTGTGCAAATCACCTATGATAAGCTTCTGATTTCTTATCTGTATGTAAAATGGGGGAGGGCATCCTAGTAGTATTTTTAGTACAGTGAAACCTGTGAGAGCCGGAAATGGTTGGGACTCCCTTGTTTTCTGGGTTTTGACAGTTTTCCACCTTTGACAGGGTGCGGTCTTACCGTTCAGTGGAAAATATTTGCGTTTTCCTTCTCTGACAGGTTTCTGCACACAGTGTCTGGTTTTTGCAGGTTTTACTGTGACAGTAGGTAACACTCATCTGCTCTTACTGTGTACCAGATGCTGTTGTAGGTGTTTACGATCACCCAGGCAGGTGGCTACTAGTGTTATCATCCATGATTATTATCATCCCATTACACAGATGAGAAAGGAGCTCTGGTGGCGTAGTGCCTAAGGCATTTGACTACCAACCAGAAGGTTGGCGGTTCAAACCCACCAGCCACTCCGCAGAAGGAAGACTGGGCAATCTACTTCCATAAAGATTTACCGCCTCGGAAACCCAAAAGGGGTCGCTATGAGTTAGAATCGACTCGATGGCAGTGAGTTCAGGTGTTTTGTTTTTTTTCCTCCACACAGATGGGAAGACTTATACACAGAGTAACTTACCCAATGCTACACAACAAGTGAGTGACTGAGCTGGGATTTGAACCCAAGTAGTCTGGCTCTAAAATCTGAGTTCTCAAAGGTGACTCAGTCTTACCTCTTAGGGCTGCTTGAGGGTAAACATAGACCATGGGTGTGACATGCTTGACACAGCAGGGTAGATATGCTTGGAAAATGGGGTCACATGTTCTCAGCATCTTCTTCAGAAGACAAATCCTGCATCACTAGCGCCCCCTGCTGGCCAAGAGGCAAGGCCCAGGCAGTGTCTAATGAGCCCAGCCCATTGTTTTTTTTTTTTTTTT